TGTTGCCTTTCTCCCCCTGGGGGACCCAAGGTGGCTTACAACAAATAAAACTATTTAAAAAGCAATAGTTTAAAATACCATATAAATATCTTATTAAAAAACAAACATACTGTATATCAAGATTATTTTTTCAAGCTACAGTACTTGTTTTCAATGAAACCACAAGGTGGCGTCCCATTTTTTAAAAAAAGAAAATCTAAACCTCAGTGGAACTAATGTTGTTATTTTCTCTGCTACTATTTTGCAAGATAATTTGATTACTGTGTGGAAACAGAAGAAACAGTAAATACATTAAATACTAGCCCACACACAAGACATTTTCAGATACAGCACTGTTTTGTGAACCACTACAGAGTTAAAGCAAGACATTCAAGCAGCCACTTACTGAACTCTGAGAACATCATCCCACCATAATTAGTCTGCCTCTCTCTCTCTCTCTCTCTCTCTCTCTCAGTTCCTTTTTGCATGTAAAAACTATGTTTGAAAGCTCCTATATTCATTTGGTGGCTGGATAGGTATCTGCTTACAGAGCCTGAGTTTGGGTGTTTGATTCCCTAATATGTCTCCTGTGAGGACAGCCAGCCTGTGTAACCTTGGGCAAGTTGCACAGTCCCAGAGCGTCCCCAGAAGATGAGAATGGTAAACCACTTCAGAGTATTCTCTACCTGAAAAACCCTGAAAAGGGTCACAACAAGTCAAAATTTATTTGGTGGCACATGATGATAATTCACTTAAAATGCTATGCTACAGCAGTCTTCTAAGTAACAATAGTCCATGTTTGAATTTCTATTAAAATGCTTCAATGCTTCTAAAAGGCACAGACTTGTAACTCTTTAAAATACACAAAACCTCTCAGAAAGATGACAGCTACTGTGGTCCTACTACTGGAATTTTTTAAAAAACTGATCATTTACACCCACTTATCTATCTCCAGGAAGCAGCACATATAATATACACACTTCCTTTTTTTAGCTGGATAAAAGATAAAACAGAAAAATCAGTTTTGTGTCATAGGTCTTTTATTATCAATTATCTATGATAAAATAATATACAATTTTCTTCAAAACAGTGGCATATACCTTAAGTAAACAATTCATCAATAGAACAGTGTGTTACAAGTTTTAAAAGTGCATTTAAACTCCATTTTACAGGGCAATCCATGACCCGATTAAGAAAAAACCTCTGAATTGACAGCATATTTCCTTAGCTTTTGGAACTTAATTGAATTGGGTTATAGGTTAGCTTTAAAACCATTAAAAACAGCCAGACCTCTTACAAATAAAGCAACAGTAAATGTCTCATACTTTAATATTAAAAATGAAAACATATATCACAATAAATATGGATAAAAGACAAAACTTTGAGTAACTTTTCATAAATACCTAAGATCTCATTCTATAAAAATAATTAAGACAATAGATAATATTATATAATAGCACTCTCACTCTAAAGTTGTACTTCAGTAACCATCACTAATTCAAAACTGAACTATGACTTAGCCCTAAATTAAAATTCTGATTAAGGCTGCAATCCTCAATAATTTACCAAGAAAATTAAATCTGACTAAATTAAGTGTGACTTGTTATTGAGTAAATATGCTGAGTTAGGAACTGCGGCTATGAAACTCTTCCTTGTTCAACATTTCCTAGGATCAAACAACATCAGTTTCGTGAACACTAAATTCAGAATGAAATATGAATCCAGTTTAAAATCAGCAGATTGCATTTTCCATTAGTGGATGCTGAGTCAAGATATCAATGGAATGGTTCTACAACACAAGCTAAGCTCAGTTCTGTAGTGCAAACTGATATTTGGCAATCACAATATTCTTTAAGTGAATTCTTCTTGTAGAGAGCAATCTACTAATCTAAGACTTACCAAAAAAACAATAACTCAGAAGACACTGTGAGGCAAGGACAGGGAAAAAAGGTTAGAACAGGCAGACTGCTTTGTCTCTGGGGGAATTACTAATAGTGGCCCAGCAATATTCCAGAGTAACAATATCATTTTGTAGCGGTTCAACACAAAAAGTCTGCATCTCTGAATAAGAAACAAACAAGGCACTAGCAGTTCACAAGGACGAGTCCAAAACTGGTTGGAAATCTTGGTTAAACAGGCTAACTAATCAGCCTTCATTGTGCTTAATATTGCTAAAATCTTGGTTAAACAGGCTAACTAATTAATCAGCCTTCATTGTGCTTAATATTGCTGTGTCAGATTGGATACAGTACTTTTATCTGGAGAAATGGTTTGTTTATAGTTGGAAGAGAAAGTTGAACAACTAAATGAATTTATAAATGTAGGGAGAAAAGACACACTCACTTAAAATGGGAATTTGGAATTCATCACATCATTTCAATTCCTTGCCACTTTGGGCACCAGCCATCAGACAACAACAATCATCATGGATTTCCCACTGTAGATGGAACCTGACACAAGGCTGTCTTGACTGGGTGACCACTTAAAATTATTTTGTGTGTGTTCTTAATATGCTTAAAGGCTAAGAAATGCTTTTTACTTTATATATTTTTTACTTTTAACAACGTTGGTCAATGTTCCCTCTAAATTTCTGTCCTCCTGCCTGGGCACCTCGTTCCATGTGCGTGGGAGCCGGCAGGGCTTCATTTGAAATGAGAAAGAAACCACCCTCCAGCTGCCCATACACAACTCCAAAGGAGTTCTGGGCAAGTGCGCACACACAGCTTAGACCATTGATTTTGATATTTTAAGAGATGTATTCTCTGACTTTCACTTGTCAATTTGTGTCTTTCAGGCTGCGAACTTCTTTATTTTTGGATTCAAATATGATTTTGGTTCTTGTCTGTAATTTCTATACAGTAAGTAAAAGCCTACAACCGAAACATAATTTTCTGACTTAAGTATTTCCTTGCAACGTAGGTTTAGATTTCATATATTTTAAAGCATGTCTGCCTTCAGTTTTCTTTATAGCTATAAGACTTTTGTATTTTTCCAACAACTTGGAAGTATTTTTTGTTTATGGAAAAATAAAAGCAATGTAAAAAATAATGCTTGTAGACAAGCTGATGTTGCAGGAAGTATTTTTTGCTTATGGAAAATAAAAGCAATGTAAAAGACAAGCTGATGTTGCCTGGAATTTTTGCAACAGTGAAGACTTACACTTTGGGACTCAGATGAATTCTGACATGATTGTCAATGATTGTTTGGTTTCATTCTGGAGTTAACCCTTTTGGGGGATAATGCCAACTGTGAGGGATACAGCCTTCTGATTTTTCCCTAGAGATCTATAACGTTTTGTAGGACTCTTAGGAAGGGTTCAGGCATCTGTTTATCCAATCTGATAGCAGTAGACAAAATGTGTAATTGTGATTAACACAGAAGCAGGAATTAGAATAACAAGAGTATTGATATAGCAACTCAATTAATACTATGGCAATGACTAAAGTTAATAAAGTTTTCTTTATTTTTGCACCACATTCAAAAAGTTGCATTTGCACATTTTTGTTCTAATTTTTTTCTAGCTGTTCTAATAGTCTACTAATTCTTCTAATATTTATTCGAAGATTCTGAAAAATTAATGTTCAAGCTTACATCTTTGGGTACTTTTTTCCTAGTCTTTAAGGGTATTAAATTAGTGGCTTGGATTGTTACAAACAGAGCTTCTATAACCAACCGCAAAATGAAGCAGCTGTAATGTAAGACATTTCTTTTCTAGTTTGGTGCAAGCTGTATATAAGATCAGACCAAAAAGACCTTGAATGGTAATTTATCTGTGAGCCAGATCTTCCTGCTAACTATTCTGTTCTGGTCTACAAATAGGCACTGTTAGCATTTAAAGAACAGGATACTGTACATCCATCCATCTACCCTTGAGACCACTCAGGGCTAAAGTGCTGAATACAGTGGGACGAGGCTCTGTTATGTGCAATGGTATTTAATGGGGGAGATATTGTGCAAACAAGTCACAGAAGGATGAAAACTAAATTTGTGTGAAGGACACAATCATAAAATCTGTCCACTGTTCTCACAAGAAAGAGACACTGTTAATATCCTTCCTGTTCAATTCTGAACAATTAAATTAGTTTCAGCTTCAGAGTTGCAGGATATAAAACCTAGTTGTCACAACAAATAAAAAATAAAAAATTGAAAAAGCTCCGAACTCTTAAACAGAATCTTTCTACTAGAAACTGGCAAAGGATTTCAGTTTAATCACTTGGGCCAGAAGCCTATTTGCAAATGTCAAGCGAAACTGTTCTATCAGTATAGTGCTTTACATGTAGCACTCAATATTCAACATGCAGTTGTGCAAGCTGTGCCATCTTCTAAGCAACAAGACTTCTGCTTAAACAAGAAGGTAGTGAATACCCCTTGCACAAGTGCAACGATAGGTGCAACAGAGCACTGTGTGTATAACAACAACAGAAATACAAGGTTCTGTCCTTGGAAGTTTATACTATGCAACATGGGGGAAAGCAAGATGAATAAGCAAGAGAAGAAAACTGGCTTCAGGATCTTGCAGAACTTCAATAGTAGTTCTTCTCATATGCATAATGAGAGAAGGATTACAGCCACAGCACTTCACACAAAAGCAGGAGGTGTCACCAGCATGGTGGATTTGATTTAAATCAGAAAATCAGAATTTTTGATCATGTAAATCAGAAAATCAATTTCTTTTATTTAAATCAATTTGATTTTTAAAATATTGATTTTTATCCACCCTGGTCACCAGTCACCTCCTACAAAAGCATCAGCTTGCTCTCTTCTAATACCTGTTTTACATCCAACAGTGCATTATATAATTGGCAACTCACAAATGCTGACATGTCTGCAGTTGATGTTCTGAAAAAAAAAATGATTACGGGTGGATGTATTATATATAAAAAAATGTGATTTAAAATTCACATACTCATTCACACTTATACAATTAGTCACATTTAAAAAGCAAGCAATACACTTCAAATATTCACAGACATTTCATGTGGTTGGTAAACAATAGCCATATGCAACGCAATTCAAGAAGGGCAATAATATGGGACTATAATGTTACATATCAACTTTTGGTAATAACAGCAGGTTACATTCACCAATAGGGGATGTGGTGGCGCTGCGGGTTAAACTGCAGAAGCCTCTGTGCTGCAAGGTCGGAAGACCAGCAGTCGTAAGATCGCTTAGCTTGTCCCAGCTCCTGCCAACCTAGTAGTTCGAAAGCATGTAAAAATGTGAGTAGATAAATAGGTACCACCTTGGTGAGAAGGTAATGGCATTCCGTGTCTAGTCGCACTGGCGTGACCACGGAAACTGTCTTCGGACAAGCGCTAGCTCCATGGCTTAGAAACAGGGCTAAACACCGCGCCCTAGAGTCGGACACGACTGGACTAAATGTCAAGGGGTACCTTTACCTACGTTCACCTATACGAGCAAAGAAAATAAAGGATTGGATATTTTTAACAGTGCATCAAGTTAGACAGTGGAATGTTTTTTCTCCCACCCCATCCCCAAAATACTGCTCATAATGAACTACAGCCACTTAAACTATGTAGCAGAAATTCCTAACTCAAGATCTCCGCAAAAGATTTTACACAAATGCAAATCTTTTCAAATTTATGAATAAGAAGGCTTTAATATGCAAAACAACATGTTTAGAATAGCTGTCAACTAACTTCAACATATGTGCAAACTTGTCTTGAAAGCCTGAAGGAAAAATGAGTAGCTTTGGCACAGCTACTAGCTTATATTGGTAATTTTTAAAATAGAAATGAAGTTGATAAAAATAAGAATCTTTGTGGTTTATTCGTCTGATTCTCCTTTAAAGAAATGCATGCATGCCAATAGGTTTTAAACACTATGATGCTGTTCTAGAATTTGTCGCACGAAGCGCTAGGCTTGCGACTGATCTCATTGCACATGTAGAAACCTTGTGACAAAGCCCAGCATTGGAAATGTAGTTGGAAGCCAAATGATACAACCGTTCAGCTCCAAATGTGTTAAAATGCCCTGGAAGAACTTTTTCCACAAGGCCCCTATTCACTAATTCTATTAGTCGCTGGCAGGTTGCAACATAGTCGTTTATCCTGCTGTAGGGAAGCCAGTCAATCATTGAGCCATCATAGACAACATCCCCACTGAACAGGATCTTCCGTTCTTTGTCGTGCAAACAAATGCTTCCTCTTGAATGCCCAGGCATGTGCATGACAGTGAGCTGTGTATCACCAAGGCTGATCACATCCCCTAGAAACAAACACAAACAAAGGAACATGGAAACACTGAATGCTGAATCGTGATCTCAAGAAACAATAACACCAGTTTTACCCCAGGACACAGGAGGAACCCAAGAGGGGAAGGGCAAACTCTATGTGAGTATATATTTAAGCTACTTTAGTGTTGAATGAGAAGAGGACATAATAACTTTCACACAGAGAAGCCAATAGTTTACAAGAGTCAAACTATGTATTAGGGATGGCACATCACAAGAAGAGTAAATTCTGTAAGTGCCAAAAGACATCCAATTGTCACAGCATTAGCTTTTTATACTGTCTAGTTCAGTAATAGTGAACCTATGGCACATGTGTCACAGCTGGCACACAGAGCCCTTTCTGCGGGCACTCAAGCCGTAAGTTGCCAGATCACCACTCCCCCACACACAGCCAAACCTCGGGAGGCAGCTGTAGCGCAGTGCTGGCACTTCGACAGGCTGAGGGCCAGGATCCAGAACAGCTGGCACTGGCGGTGGATCCAAAGTGGGGCCTCAAGGCACCTCCATGCCCGGGATTCCCCCTTCTGGTTTCACCACCACCACTTCCAGATCACCATCACCCTAGCATGCCCCCACTGCTTCCCCCCCCCCCAGTTTGCGCACTCAGCCCCACAAAGGTTCACCACCACTGGTCTAGCTTAACTTTCTTTCATTTGTGATTGGTCATCAGGAGGTAAATGTGGACTTCATTTGCAAATATTTCCTCAGTCACAAGGATTTGCTAGTAAGGGAAATTCCTTCTTAACAATTTGTAAATAGGCATATTGTGGGTTTAGGAAGTGTTTTATTTATGCTGGCAGAGAGACAGAAACCTTTATTGGCATACTGTACAAAATTAAAACATAATAAAATGCAGATAAAACATTCAACAGCTAACATGTGGCAGGGAGCAGCCAAATGCATATTTAGGGCTCGGCATTATGCTGGCCAGCAGAAACAGTCAATACACAACAGCAGTATGTGTAAGGAGAGTCTAAATAAGCAAGAATGTATGCATAGTTATGTTGGGATGTGGTGGCGCTGCAGGTTAAACCTCAAAGCCTCTGGGCTGCAAGGTAGAAGGATCAGCAGTTCGAATCTATGCGACGGAGTGAACTCCCGTCGCTTTGTCCCAGCTCCTGCCAATCTAGCACTTTGAAAGCATGTAAAAATACGAGTAGATAAATAGGTACCACCTCGGTGGGAAGTTAACAGCGTTCCGTGTCTAGTCACGCTGGCCCACATGACCACAAAAACTGTCTACGGACAAACGGTGGCTCTACGGCTTCGAAACGGGGATGAGCACTGCCCCTAGAGTTGAACATGACTGGACATTTGTCAAGGGGAACCTTTACCATTTTATGCATAATTATACAGAAAAAACACACAAAGAACCATAAATGCATCATTTAAATTGGTATTTTTGAGAGCATCTTTCTCAGAATAGATCTTAAAGGAAAACATTCTTTGAGGCATCTGGTTGTCTTTGTAAGTGATATGTTATTTCCTTCCAGAGATCTGGAAGGAATATTTTATTGTTTTATGATACAGTTTGCTTAAGGATGAAGGAGGATGCAGGATAGGTGAGCTTTATGCTTCTAAGATCTCCTCCTTCCCATGTTGCAAAACAGACATCAATTTCATGCAACAGCTTCCTGGGCAACAAAGTAGAGTTCCATCACACGTCAGTTTCCCTGAAGTCCCTCTTATCTCCATTCTAGACCACAGATAATGACAAAATAAAGGTTCCCATCCCCATTCAAAAGCTTGTTATTTTTTCCCACAGTTTTCAAATACTGACAGTTCCATCATCCTCTTATCTGTCCAGCATATTTCTCTTCTTTGCAACCCTTCTGGTTAGAATGGGAGGGTGTACTTCAATTTATCTAGCTTACAAATTGGCTTGCATCAGATTTCCACATCTATTTTTGATATGCTCTTCTCCAAAGGAAAAAAAATCTCATGGTAACATCAAAATAAAGCACTTTTTGGCTATATATTCTAGATTACCACTGATGTTGAATGAATGAATAACAATGTATACATGATTGAAGTTGTAAAATAATCTGTGATCACAGTGTTGTAATGTTTCTTGAAGGAAGCGATCTATAATGTGATCATAAACACACAGAGGTTTAAATATTATTATACTCGATGGGCTTACTTCTAAGTAGACATGCAAAGCTACTTGCGGCTGCTTCCCTGAATAAAGTGGTTGGAGGGGTCTCTAGGTGTCAAACCATATGATACAGATAGCCTCTCATGAAATGCTGAAACTCCTGTTAAACCCTATTCTATTTCCCAGGGTTCTTTCTTTTATAGGGTTTACTGTTTTGATACACGTTGGAGGACTCTGGTTCAGTCCACTCCCAGTGAGTATGGTTATTTGTAACAGATTAAACTAGAACCTTGCAGCTCCTTCTAGTGTCAATTTCCAGTATACTGAACTGGTTTACGAAACTGAACCCAGACAAGGAGGTGGGGCAGAGTAGCCTGTAGTGCTGCATTTAAGTGAGTGGCTGCTGGAGGAGGCAGAGGAAGGAAACATGTCCTGCAACTGGTGCATGGGAAGTTGCGCTGAGGAGATAGGGAGGGAAGTGCACTTCACCTGAGGAATAGGCAAGCATGAGAGGAGTATACAGTGCCCACAGAACACTTGTGCAGGTGTGGCACCAAACTGGGCTGAACCTTCGAACTATAGTTTGTGCCCATCTTTAGTCATCTGCCACTTGAATGGAAGGACAGTGCCAAAAAGCATTTCATTCTTCCCAACTTCCACCCACTCTTTGTAGCCTGATTCAGCCTGTACAAAATGGTCAATTTGGACAGGCTCCAAAACTCTTCCCAAACTAGCCCCCCAAAATACCCCACCTCCACACTAAAAACAACAGAAAGATTTACTAGTTACAAGCTATCAATCCAAAATAGCATTATCTTATATGTTTATAACTGAATTCATAAATGAAACTTCAGCCCAATTAATCAAATACTGTATATTGAATGATTGCAAACTGTGGCAATCCAGATGTCTCTATACACTCTCCAGCATTCTTCACCATTTCTAGGCTGGCTATGGAGTTGATCACAACACCTGGAGGCATCCACTCTGTCTAGCACTGATACAGAAGAAGCCACTTTGAACACTATCTATCTATCTATCTATCTATCTATCTATCTATCTATCTATCTATCTATCTATCTATCTATCTATCTATCTATCTATCTATCTATCTATCTATCTATCTATCTATCTATCTGTCTGTCTGTCTGTCTGTCTGTCTGTCTGTCTGTCTGTCTGTCTGTCTGTCTGTCTGTCTATCTAAAATATTTTAATGCACAAGACAATCAGTGTATTTCCAACAATGATGTCACCTCCCTTAAACTATTTTTTAAACTTGACTGAATTGCTCAAAATGCTAATGAAAAAACATAACTGTAAGAAAATCAAATAGATCCTCTTATTCACTAACAGCTCTGTAGGTAACAGCAAGTAGGGCGTAGGAATAGATGGGCATTTTTCTAAATGGAGGCATATAAGCAGCAAGGTTCCTAAGGACTAATGTCTTATTCAAAAATGACCAGGACTAAGCGGTGAATATTAAGATGGCAGAAGACTCCATATTATTTAAGACACTAAAAGTCCAAGTGAGAGTGAGGCATTCAAATTTCTCAGGGCTGAATAATTAAGGGATGAAATGCTGCTCCCAAGTAGCTCAGAAGAAAAACACATTCTGACCTCTGGCACTAGCCAAGACACCGAACTCTACTGAAATGCTGTTACCATTATTCTCAACCCAAAGCATGGAAAAAGTTCATTCTTGAGATACAGTTCCCAGAATTTTCCAGTCAGATGGCTACAGTGACAGGAGGACTCTGGGAATTGTAGTCCAATGCAAAATGTCTAAGCTTTGCCTTTACGCAGAATGACATCATATGAAGAAGAGGACCAGCCCGGTGCCATCCATTGGCTAAGGAAGTAAAAGGAGCAGCTGCAGGGAGCTTGCATCTTCTCCTGACAGTAAGTCCACTCTGCTCCCCATGCCAGTTGCCTTGGGATAGCAAAACAAACAGGAAAAGCCCAGTGGCCTCTACCACTGTGATCGAGAGACCAAAGGGAACCACACCCTCTGCCTCTCATGACGAACATCACGACCCACTCAGATCATGAGTTAAGATGTAGCCTCTACAGTTCTGGCACTCCCTTCCATTCCCAACCCTGTTTTGTTGCTTACTATACCTATTAGAATCTGGATCTACAGGCAGGGACAGTATTATTTTTTAGTATCTGTACAGCACATAAAAAACTTAATGTGCTATAATAATGCAAAGACTCAATGTTAGCAAGATGAAAGTGATGCACACTGGCATTAAAACAACAACAGCAACTCTGATCTTCACATAAATGACTATGAGGCCCAAACTGGCTGTAAATACCCATATAAGCGATCTTGGGGTCATTGAATAAATGCTACCAAAAATGTCTGCTCAGTACAGTAGAAACATAAAAGCCAAATATAATGCAACAAATGAGACTGAAAAAGTCTGCAAGTAGGATAATCTCATTATAAGATTAAATACTGCAAGGAGACATGACTGCTGTATCTCAGACAGGATATTGCAGTGCTGGAGGGGAGGAAAGAGGCATCTACAGTGACTGCACAACAGAAGAGGATGGGCATATTTCCTTCCATTTTTCTTGCAAAGAGAGGGAAAAATACGGTTGGGAAGTTTATTATTATTTTTAATCCACTGCTACAGGGGGCTTTGAAGGCTATTAGCATAAAACTAGAAAAGCAATTCTTAACTATCTTCCTGAGTAGCTGCTAACCTCTGCCATATTCAAGCTCCACATATCTGGAGAAAATGTTCAAATCAAGACCTACTCTTCCATTCCTAATTACTGCCGCGCATTGGTTACACACCTTTGGTATGAAACAGGCAAGGGAATCCTCAAAGAGGAAATATCAATAAAACAAAAACTAAGTGCTCTACAAAT